CTCACCTGCGTATCATTGTAACAGCCTAACTTCATTCAAAGTGGACAGAAATAAAATAAAACTCACCCGAACAGTCTGTTAGTCTTTTCACTGTTCCAACAATCACCAATTCTGGTTTGGTGGAAATAAATCCTTCATTCACAGACATGGGTGATTTTAAAAACTGCAGTTTCAGTTGCTCTACTCAGTTACACATGGAGGGACTTGCATGCACTAATATGCACACACAGCCAGACTGGCTCTGTCAACCAAGTTCAGAAAGGCTGTGATAGTAACACAGACAGAAGGAGTATGAGAGTGAGAGAACTTACTGTTTAAAATGAACAAAATGTCTATGTAACTCAGGAAATATCTCAAAGGGGTAGAGTTCTTGAAACTTGTTGCTTCAGACAGTTGTAGCATTACTCACTCTACTGTTGATCCTGTTAAACTTTAGCTTTGTGAATTATAGTTAGAAATGAGCTGTGTATATGTGGGTCTCTCCTTCAGGCCTGGACAAGATCGAGTTCCTGCAGAGCCATGAGAACCAGGAGATCTACCAGAAGGCCTTCGACCTGATCGAACACTACTTCGGGGTGGAGGAGGAGGACGCCAGTCTGGCTCCGCAGGTTGACCAGAGTCAAGGCCAGTTCGTCTTCCAGCAACAGGAAGGACCCATGGAGGGTTTCCAGCTTTAACCCCGCCTTACCTCCACAGCTGCTTCTTCTTCCTGGTCTCTAAACCTCTGCCAGAGACGGCGGCCTACTGGTCTGCAGACTCTCCTGGTTCCTCCCCTTATCTCTGCTGGGCGGCCAGCTCCACCAGCTCCTCCCCAGACCTTCACTTCTACTATGTTGTCACAACAACACCTACTCGGAGAGATGAAGAGAGATTAGTGAATATGGAGACGAGACGAAAGGTGAGAGCACATTCGGCTCGCTGAGGCTGTTTGAGACTTCAGGAACCTAATGCTGGTTCCCATCCCACTCATGAGATGTCTGTCATGAAAAGCCAATTCATGCTGAAGAAATAGTTCTCCTGTTTTTTCCTTAGTGATACAGTATGCTTTTCCTCTGACTTCCTGTGATATTATTTCTGTCATTCTGAATGATGTTAATGATATTTGTGTTACAATTAGAACCTGGTGTCTCCAAATCAGCATCCATATCCCTTTTTCAATGTGAAACTACCTCTTCAGTCTTCAGAAAGGAACCAGAAGGAAGGAAAGAAGAAAAGCCCTAAATGAACAGATAAAAGCAACAGACTGATTTTTTTTTTTCTTCTTTTATGATCCAATCTTGAATAAAATGCTTGGTGTTCAGATTGGTGGTGTGGTGGCTCCCCTGTCAGAAGTCTGTAGGCATGTAGTCGATGTAAATACAGTACTACTGTATGTCCTGGTGTTGCCATACTGTCAGTCTGAAGAAGCTGCACGTGGTCTCTGGGCTGGGCTTTTATTTATTTGTCTTTTAGGAGCTGTGGAGAAGCTCCTCTTTCTCTTCTCCACCCCTCAGCTCTGACCAAAGGCGACTGCTTCCTGGTTTATGTAAGTTAGTTTGAAATCTCTTAACAGTGTTGGCTCTTTGCTAGTGTTTCGCTGCTTATTTTAAATGTTTTCAGAGAGCAGTATCAGGGCAAGACAGGTGCTGTCTATGTTACACGATGCAGTGTGTGCAACAATCTTGCTAGTTAAATGTTGTTTTCTAATTTCTCACTTGAACTAGCAACGTAATATATCTTAAATTATTTTTTCTGCCTGCACTCATTTCTTTGATGTGATGGGATTCTTCAACTAACTGGAGGGTTTGTATATTATATATACATGTAAGAAAGTGTAAAGAAAGTATTTAAGTGGCTGTGGGAAGGTGTGATATGCAATTCCGTTTTGGGACTGGTGTGCAGTTGTACCATTTCCAGTCCATCACTGCTTCTCCTTTATGCACCCCTGAACGTTTCTGATTTACTTTGAGGAGGTTTGTCTCCTAAATTTTTTTTCATGTCCTGATTATGTGGTTTGAAGTCTTAAGATGGAAGCGCAGTGTTTTGTTTTCCCTTGAACCATGATTTTTTGTTTCAATCCGTGCACATTTGAGTACAGTAATTGGTGGAGAACCGAACATGAAATTAATCTATATTTACGTGAAATGGAAAGTATTTGTAATGCAGAAATTACATCAAGCACATTTAATCGTGTATAGTTTTCTAATATTTCTGGTTTGTATGATTGTATATCATTTTTTAGGTTTTGGTAGTGTTTTTGTTTTCTCTTGTTTGGGAATTAATTTGCTGTGTTCTTGTGGCTCTCAGTAGACATTGTGTATTAGAGCTCCAGCAGCCTGTGTACAGAGTGAATTACTGTATGCAGCCACAGTCTGCGCTTCCTAACACGGACTGGATCCCAGAGGTCCGACAGTGAAGCCGGGTCAGGCTGTCTGTAATGATGCCTGGTTCTTCTGGGTGGGGATGCACACGTATATTGTGTAACAAGAGTTAATAAATTGACCTGTTGGATACAAACCATACACACTTGCATTACAGCTTATTTGTCTTTTCTTTAGTAAAGTTCTCATACTGATTGACGGTCACATTCACTGTCGAACTGACTTTCGTTTTGCTGTTGTTGGATTGAAGTACATTTACTCAAATATTATACTTAAGTATAGTTGAGGTACTTGTATGTCCACTTCAGTTACTTGTTGGTTTCCAGATCAACTTTTTTTACCAAAACCACATAATCCGTTTATAAAATGATTAACTGGATATTTAAGGTCCACTGTGTGGATTTAGTGTCATCTAGTGGTGGAGTTGCAGATTGCAACTGAAAAGTTTCACCCTCCCCTTCCAAGTGTGTGGGAGAAACTAAGGTCACTGTGAATGCCCCATCTACAGTCAGTGTTTGGTTTGTCTGTTCTTGGCTGCTGTAGAAACATGGTGGACTCCATGGAAGGTGACCTGCAGTGTCTGTAGATTCTAAGGTAACAAAAACACAACAATTCTTATTTTCATGTTATTATACACTAATGAAAACATACCTAAGAATATTATATTCCATTTCTGCCAATAGATCCTCCTAATGTCACACACTGGACCTTTTGTAAGACCTCTAAATGAAAATGACTTAATTGGCACATTTAAAGAAATATCTATTTATGCACTGTTCCTGGAACTTTAAACTGTATAGATAAATAAAAGATATATATATATATAATATAATTTCCATAGGTATCTTTTCATTGTATTTGTTGTTTCGTTTTTTTTTTTTTTATGTTTGGTATTGATGTTTTTATGTATTTAATTCCATTCAATTCAATTTTATTTGTATAGCGCCAATTCAAAACAAAAGTTATCTCAGGACACTTTTCAAATAGATCGGTTCTAGACCGAACTCCTTATAAAATTATTTAAAGAGACCCAACAGTTCCCACCATGAGCAAGCACTAGGCGACAGCGGCAAGGAAAAACTGCCTTTTAAGAGGCAACCTCGACCAGTTGGGTTTAGGGAAAGAGAGAGAGGGGATGGGTGGTAAAGAGAGGACAGAGACAGACAACGTTGTACAGCAACAACAATACTAGTAAAAATGATGACGATGACGATAATAGCCACAACACACTGGACCTTTAAATATATTATATAAATATCAAAGTACTCTGTCTAAAAGGCCGCCCTCCTATGAATGGTAGTGTGTTTGCAGTGAATGTTGTGCATTACGTGATCCTGAGATATGAAGTTTGTGCAATTTAACAACAGCACTATTTTGCAATTTCTACTTATAATACCCTGTCAGTTGTTACTGTATGATAAAGGCACACCATCAGGGTGGATTTGTACACAATTTTATTGGATAAATGTCAAGTGCCAGAAAAACATGGTTAATATGTGGCATTTGTCATAACATAACATTCAGAGATCTACCAGAAACTGTTCACCTCTTCTGTTCTTTCTACATTTTCACTTTGAATGAATTGTCGATGAATGGGAAATGGACCTGTATAGCGCCTTTCTAGTCTTCCCACCACTCAAAGCGCTTTTAAACTACATGCCACATTCGCACATTCACATAACATTAGAATCTAGTGGCAGAAATGGAATATAATATTCATAGGTATGTAGTGATTAGTGTATAATTACCTGGAAATAAGAATCATTGTGTTTTTGTTACCTTAGAATGAGCTGTTTTTATCTACATAGAGAGCGGGTCCTTCAGCTCTTTCGGAAGGGAGGGTGAAGCGAGGGAACTGCAATCTGCCACTACACTACTAGATGCTCTTAAATCCTACAAAGTGGACCTTTAATAACCACTAATAAGCCATTAGTAACAATGTAGAAATTATATTACAAAGTGATAACAAAATATAGGATAGGAATGGTATAAATGATGTAAAATCATTTTTGTGATTTTGTCTTTACAATTAAGAGGGCAAAATATTTTGGGACTCATGTATATAATAATATAATATAATATAAATATGAGCATATGAACTAACATCAAATAATACAAACAGTCCTCCTGTCATCTCTACACACGTCAGATGAATCAGTGGTACAATGTCTGTCTGTTTATTGTTGAAAGTGATATCCTCCAGTGACGATTACAAGCTCACTTATATCCTGTTACAGCGTGGTATTTGTTGCTGGGAGCATTTTGCAGTCCTCACAGCTGTGAGAGAATTTCAAGTTTCTGTTGAGCTCTCAGGCTCCTGTTCTGCCCGCAGTCATTCGATTGTGGTCTTGGAGGCCTTATTTTGTGCAACAAATGGAGACCCAGTTTTCATAAAGGCCCACCTGCTAAAATAACAAAGATAGTGCCACATTGAAAAGGGTTTACGGGAAGCTGGTGTGTATCTATAGCTATCTAATATTTAAAGTTGTTATGGTTCTTCTCTTCCTTCCTATCGTCTTATTTTTTGTTGCACAACCAGACTGACCAGTTTAGAGGTGGGGATTTTCAGCTTGGATGAAACTGAATGACTAACAGGCCTGAGGTTGTTTACCCTCTCATCATAACAGGCTGGCCACAGTCGCTTTCACACAGTGGATTAATTGTCTCCAATGTAATTTTAAGTTGTGCGGTGTATGAACCTCCTTATTAAGGATGATTCGTTTTTGGATGCGTGTACATAACTGTGTTAGCAGATCAAATAATCTTCACTGACTGATAAAGCAGAGCAAACAAGTCTGGCAGAGAAAACAAACTGAGCGTGTGTAGCTGTCAAAACAGAGACATTATATTCTTGAAAGTGAGCTGTTAAAACCCACAGGATTCACTTCCATGACAGCACCCAGTGGATACAGTATGAGGCCATTACCTCCTGCTTTCTGTCTCTGTTTTAAAGATGCAGAAGAAAAAAACAAAAAACAGAAGCCATATATTCGTCTGTCATAGTCATCTATTAAAATCGAGTATCAAGGAAATGCATTTATCATTATACAACACAAGGTTGTACAACAAAATAAAAGTTTACAGTCACTTCATGCTACACACATAACACCAAATAATAACATTTCTATTAGAATAACATAAAATAAAATAAACTATCATAAAGTTATTTATATACATATATACATACACATATACGCCCAGGAAGTAATTCTGCAGTTTATTTTTTGAATTTATGTCAGTGTCATCCACTTTGACTGTGGCTGCGTTTCATTAGTCGTTCACTTGCCCTCGGGGGAATCAGTCCCCCGCCGCCATCATAAGGTGCTCGTCAAATTGTCTGGAAAAACTGAACGTGAACTTTGGTGAGAATGACCCTCGAGGCTGGAGGATGCGAAGTGAACAACGATGCACTCCGATGTGGAACACCTTCACAATGCTTGTCAGGTTTACGTCACTTGCTGCTATAACCCCGACGCTGCCAATGAGTAGACTCCAAGGCAATGCGTTTCATTTAAAACTCCCCCTCCCCCCCCGCCACTTTCCCTCCGCGCTCCCCCAAGTGGCCTCCGTTTTGTACATGTCGGCCTTACACGTCTTGAGGCGCTGATCCGGGGGACGGCTCCGCCATTTTGTGGCGGACCCGGTGCACGGGGCAATTGCTAACCGTATCTGGCACATTTTCATGACTTTTTGAGCATGTTTGGCGGCCGCCAAATATGCGGTCTAAGAGGCAGAAAATAATAATAAGAATTCCTTCAATAACAATAGGGCCTTGCACTGGTCAGTGCTCGGTCCCTAATAATCTTTATTGTCCACAAATGTGGAAAGTTGCCTTTTGCTTCACAGGTAGTTTAAAACATATAATCATATCATCACAATGTAGACAATAATAAATAACACAACATGCACAGTACAGAGAACAATAATGGACATGGTTCCAGTGTATGACTTGAGCAGAGTTATCGCATTAGGAATGAATGCTAAAAAGAAAGTAGTCATGAAATGAGTGAATTGAACCACCTTATTACCACCGTCTATTTCAAGTTTGCTCAAATTAGCTGGCATAAGCCACTATAAACTACTGGTCAGACCAGACCAGACCAGACAAAACTTAGTGTTTTTTTTTCTTTCAGAAGTTAGATTGTTTTGCTCTAACCAATCAGAGACAAGAAAGACAGTTTATTGTGGAGTCTCATTCCCAGGTTCTCAAATATCAATGCTTTCGGAATGACACTCAACAATAAACTACCTTCAAGCTGCCAACCCATAGCGTTTTTTGATATTTTTCAGCTCGGTTTGGTTGTTTTGGTTGAGGCCCGGTGGATTCTTGCACCTTCCTTAGAAGGAATTTGGATATGTTAAATACATTTAAATACATTTTTAATTGACATGAGGTTCATCCTTTACCCAACCCCAATCATTTTGCACAGAATGAGAGAATGTTCTATGATATGTTCTATCAGTCAGTGGTAGACCAGTGCAGTGCTGTTCGTAGTGGTATGCTAGGGAAGCAGCATCAAAGAGTGCCAGGAGGCTGAATCTATCTATCTAGGGGCTGTGTATTGGCAGTAATCCAGCGATACGATACGTATCACGATACAGGGTTTACCATAATATATTGTGATATACTAAAATATTGTAAGCAAGGTGATTTATTGCAAAATATATTACATTTAATTTTTTAGAAAACTGTGATATAAAGGACATGCCACCATATGCATTAAAAATAGTTGTGTAGTCCCTGTAACATCTAACATCATAGCCCTCAGTTTTAACAGTTAGTTGTTGGGGGTATAAACACACAAATAGTGTTTCTGAGAATCAATACAATATGACAAAACAAAATATTGCAATACTCCAGTGTATTGATATTGTCTTACAACCCAGCAACATGACCTGTTGCTGTTGAATAAAGATTCAATGTTTCTGAGCAGCACTAAAAAGTTCCATTGACCTCCATGGAGGATGGTATTTCAGAGGTATATCTTATGGATCACATGTAATTGACACTATCTGCAAGGTTAGTCACCATAAGATCTGACAAAAGTGACGTATGTGTGTTAAGCACCTTTGATGACTGACTTGAGCAGTGGGTATTCATAGAATCCACTATTGATTGTGTGTCTTAACTATTGTGCAGGTTTTGTTAGTTCTTCCTCATTCTTACATGTCCTTAGACTTCAGCATCGATCATCACAGAAAGCATTTAAGTGAGAGGAAAGTTTCTCAACCTTCCTGACTTGCTGTCACATAGGCATGATTGATGCTGAATGGTAGTGCTTCAGACAATGTGACTCATTGACCGTGTCTCAAAATGGCAACTATTCAGTTATCATCATCACTGTAACAGGCCTGAAGCCAAGGCATTGGGTGATCGGTTGGAGTCAGTAAACACACACTAACAGTCTGCAGACACTGATCCCTGTGTTAGCACTGATGTCTGCTGTATCCATTCTCATCCTGACATGACATACATCCAGATTTTATTGATCATGTATGTGTGCATGTACAAACTTTCAAGTTAAAGGGACAGGAACAATAGAACATTTTTTTCTCTTACCTGTGATGCTATTTATTCATTTATTCTATTGATTGTTTTTGTGTGAGTTGTCGAGGTTTGGACATATACGCTATAGAGGCCTTCTCTACAATTTAATGGTACCAGAACACACTCAATTTGTGGTACTTCAAGCGCCCAAAATACTACATTACAGACATACAACAACGTCTCATTCTAAAAATCATGACCAAGATACACAAGATTATTCAAAATAATCCACACCCTTATTCTTTTGGTTTTTTCTCATGAGCCTCATTATTTTTATAATGATGGGATATCCCAGATTTATGGTAAATGGTAAATGGACCTGTACTTGTATAGCGCCTTCCTAGTCACACTACGTGCCACATTCACCCTTTCACACACATTCACACAGCGATGGCAAAGTCCACTTGCTCATTCATACACATTCACACACCAATGCTGTGCATCGGGAGCAATTTGGGGTTCAGTATCTTGCTCAAGGATACTTCGACACGTGGCAGGAGGAGCCGGGGATCGAACCAACAACGGGATCCGCACAAGCACCCTCTCTGACCTCTGGCGGGACAACTCCCTGATTGGGGGACGACCCGCTCTGCCTCTGAGCCATATATAGATATACATTACATTTGATTTGCTGAAACTTCTGAAAACATACATACATCTTTTTAAATGTAAAGTATAATCATTAAGAACTTTCAAAATGTACAGTTCAAAAGTGGATTTTGGTTGAGAAGTTTATATGAGAAGTTCATATGCTGGTGCTTCTTCTGTGGCAGTGTCGTGAGATTGAACCTCTGTGCAAACTTGTGCAGCTAGTCTGCTCTCTGCAGTTTGTCACCACAGCAGTTTTGAGAGGATTGGCTGCAGGTACAGAGAGGGACGAGGTACAGTGCTGACCAGTGCTGGACTGTCGCTCTGACACTGAGCTTCCAGACACAGAGACGGAATCTGTGGTTTTGCTCGAGTATTCATACAGATTCTTCCTGAAAGCACTCTTGGTGTTTTGTTCCTTCTTAAAAAGGATTATATAGCACTTCGGGAAAAAATGACAGCTCAGGATGCCGAAGTTGGAGATGAGAATGACCACCATCTCCACAGCTGGCAGGTACACTCCTGAAGTGGTGACGTAGACAGGAACAAAGAGCAGCCACGAGATGAGGTAGAGCAGCATGCTGAACGTGATGAACTTTGCCTCATTGTAGTGCTGTGGCAGTTTGCGTCCTTTGAAGGCACAGATGAAACACACAAAAGCCAGAACAGCTATGTAGCCCAGCATCACCCCGAAGGCCAAATATGAGCCTTCATGACAGTCCTCCATCAGACTGGTTGGAAGCCTGATGATGTGATTATATGGGCTTTTGAGGACCAGCCAGCAGATGCAGGTAGTTACCTGTAAGGCCACACAGATGCTGACGATGATGTAAGGCTGGTAGAGCCTCCGCAGAACCTCCTGCAGTTTAGGGTCACACCGGAAGGCTAGCAGGATATGCAGGGTCTTGACCAGGATACAGGAGACACACAGAGTGAAGCTGATGCCAAAGAGCACCTGTCGTGCCTTGCATTGGAGGCTGTTGGGCCGGCCAACAAACAGCATGGCACTGATGTAACTGATGACCACAGAGAACAGGATGGTCTGGCTAAGTGGCCCTCCTGCAGCTTTCACTACAGGGGTGTCCCGCTGATGTAGGAACAAAGCTGACACCAGCACAGTCAGGAGGATTCCCAGGGCAGAGAATGTCAGGAGCACCACAGCAAAGCCGTCCTGCCAGGAGAAGAAGAGCAGGGTTTTGGGGATGCAGCTGGAACTGCCCTTTGGAGACCACTCTGTGTTTGTGTCACAGCTCAAACACTGGTCCATATCTGCAGGGATGAAGGAGCATAGGTACAGAATAAAACAACCACATGCAAGCACTGTGCACAAAGAATTCCAAACCTAATCTGGATAATCAGCTAACATACACATCATAGCTTGATGAGAATAACCAGGTAAGCTAGAAGGCAAGTGGATTGTTTTAATCTTGAAGATGTTTCTTCTCTTAATCCACATAGCAAAATTAGTCTGGTACAATGACATCCCACTTACACTTGGCCAAGATACAGCAATGAGTTATGGTCCACGGGTGGTCCAGATATGGTAGCCACAAATAGCCCATGATATAGCCATATCTCAACTGTATGATTGTAGATGGCCCTATGTTGGACCAGACAAGTTTCAGCACTGGTTCTAGATGTCAACTTTGACTCAACCTTAACCAAGCCACTTCATTATTGCACACACCAGACAATCTCTCTTCCTCTCCTCTGGTTTAACATTGGGCCAGAATAGGACCAGCTATCGTCATACTGATAGTTGGCTGAGATATGGCTGTATGCAACTTCACTTCACCTCTAGATGCCACTAAACA